TTCCAATCAGATGAGTCCCCCACCCCGGTTGTACCCCAGCTGCCTATGGCTCTGGCACTGGGGCAGCAACAGCTGGCACAAGCTGCCACATTTGAGCATCTTAGAGAGAGGTTGGAGCAAGGAGCAGGTGGAGCTGTAGCTGACAGCCCAGAGAAGAAAATGATGCGCCTCGCTGAGGAGCAGCAGCGCCTCATGCAGCAGGCACTCCAACAAAACCTCCTGGCTATGGCCTCTCACTTTACCCCCATGAACCTCAAACTTGGCAACGGTGAGTTTGCTTCTACTTTGACCTCTGTCATGGCTGAACATCATAGCATGCTTATTCTGGAACCGACCCTTCACTGGAATTTTTGTTTTTCCTCTGTCAGAAAGCAAACACGATCTGTCGCTGAATCTCTCCACTAATGGAGCGGCCAGTATCAGCGTGTCTGTGGAGGTCAACGGCACTGTTTACTCAGGTGAGTTATGAAACCTGTAAAGGAAGCGTGTTTTCTTTGGTGCGTGACACTAATGTAGAGGAACAAGCGCACATGGGGATGAACTAAGTTAATTGATATCTACAGTGAAAGAAATAAGCAGTGTGTGTACTGCACTTGTAGTACCAGTTCCACTGACCAATAACATTTCATGTCTTTGGCTGTATGAGGGTAAATGGCCTTTGTCAAGAGCAAAAGAGGGATTGTGTTTGCTGAACTGCAACACAAACGGCTATTGTTTGACTACAATTTAGCGTTTTATTTTTCTTTTAAAAATGGATCTACTTTAATAAATGAGTCACATGCAGAACAGGAAGTCTTGATCCTAGATATCAACGAACATATTCAGATACCAACGGTAGACATTTACCAGTTAAGGCATTTTATTAAAATCATGTCAGAATTCCTAAAAACTAACTGTGTACTAGTTAACAACCCTGACTTCTATAGTCATGATATCAACATATTCCACGTCGGAAGAAATTACAAAAACAGACAAGGCAGAGACCAATTCTTTGTGAATAAAACACCTAGTTGATACAAAAACGACAGTCTTTTCATGCAGTTCAGGCTGTTTAATACTCAAAGAAAAGGCAAGAAATCCACATGCCACATCTCAGACTCTACAGGCCTCAGTTACATCATCGCAGGACAATTAGAAGTCTCAACAAATATGAAGCCGTTTGTCTGTGAGCTAAAGCTTGGCTGAAAGTAGGTCATGTAACAGGACAATGACCTCAAGCACAGCAGCAAACGGCAAACGGCGTGGCTGAAAAACAAAGGAATCAAGGTGTCGCAATGGTCCAGTCAAAGTCCAGACCTCCACCCACTGTGGCGGGACCTTAAGAGAGCTGTGCATAAATGAATGCCTGCAATAAATAACGATGTGAGACACTTGAACTTATTACTGCTAGAGCTTGTTCTACAAGCTACTGAAACACGAGGCGGACTCTGTTTTTTAGACTCCTGTAAAAACTTTCTTTTTCAATTGCCCTTTGCACAGTGAGTTCTTTGTAACTGACAGTCATTTATGCCGTTGTCTTCTTTAGGAAAACTGTTTGCCCAGAAGTCGGCTGCTTCTGTGTCGTCACAGAACGTAACTCCAGCAGGAACAAGTGGTTTCAGCGCTTTTTCCTCCGCACAAAGTTCCACCTCCTCATCTCCCACCTCCTCAAAGGGACCAAGTTAAAATCACTGGCTTTTTAATCTGTCCGGAGCATAATGATTACACAGTGCACCACACCATTTACTTCGCTTGTCAGACAAGAACTGGATGAACTCCACGGATTCTCTGCCACAACACAGGAAACCTTCGATTACTTTAATAGTGTAATGTCAACATTTTTGACCTCTATCCTCAAGCTTATTTTAATATAGTTTCAGTTTACCTTAGTGCCTGTTAGAAGAAGACTTTTCAAACATGGTAGCTTTCTGGTATAAAGGGCTACAGGTTTGTCCAGAAGTATCGTTAATGCAAAATAATTGCTACGGCTCTTTGAACGTCAGCTACGTTTGTAGGTGTAAAAGCCGTTCCGTAGCTGCCTTTTCCATCAGTACAACAATGTGGTTGCCAAAGAGCAGCTAGTGAAGACCAAAAAGCCTTAGTTCAGTGTCATAGCTACTTGAAGCCATTTTGTATTCCTCTTGGTAAGCTTTCAGTTTACCTTGAGCAAAAGTTTTTACTTTGTGTAACTGCTTTCATGGAAAATGTAGAACATCAGTTTCCACAGAAATATCGCAACTCCTAAAGAATCAAAGTGAATTTCAGGGGAGATGTTTATTCATTTTTGCTTTATTGTTATTTATTCATTTGGCGAGGCCTCAAAATGACAGAACATTTATTTCAAGTAACTCGCAGGCGATGTTTCTGCTGGGTGTTGTATGCAGAAAGTGACACATTTACCTCAGTTGACTTCCCATGGTGGCAAGTTTCTCAGGCTACTTTCTTCTGGACTCAGGAATATCCTCTGGACTCACTGTTATCTTATATGTATGTCTTGTCATATTGCTGTTTTATATTAGTGTAAATGCAGAGAATGTATCATTAATGACCTCAACGTGAACACTGAAACGGTGCTACCTCAGTCCTCAGAGAAATATGCAGTGCTTAATGCCGCATGTGTTCATTTGTTGAAATAAACTGTAAATGGACAATCACGTACACACATGATCACAAACAAATGCCACTGGGAATTTTTTTTTTTTTTAAAGGTTGGCTTTCAGCTCTGTTGGATTAACATGTTTCCTGTAAATGTAGGGATGAGGAATAAAATGTATCTTGTGTGCTGTAAAAATACCGTTTTCTTTCTTTGCACTTCGAATATGTCTTCAGACTTTTGACACAGAGGCTAGTCTCTGATTGCAGATAGCATGTAGTTTTGTAATTGTTTGAAAATAAATGTTGATCACAATGCATTTCAAGTTTTAAAAGAAAAAACTGACTTTTCACTGAGTTTCAGCTCATCTTGTAGCTTACAGACCCCACTTATTTTAGTTCTCATCACTCTCATATAGTTTGTTTTTGTTTGGGGTTTTTTGCACAACAGACAGCTAATCCGTCTCTCTAAAAGCTCTTAAAATCTGCAGCACACTACCTGCTCACCAGCACACAGCAGGCAGATGTGAGTAGCCGATGAGAACAGTGGAGCAATTACCAGCTTAAGAGTGCGACGTATCCTCGATGGAAGCCAAAAACAGAAACACAAACTAAAAATAATGTTGCTTTGTAATTGTTGGACGTGCAAACAATCTGTCTGCTAACAGCTTCACTATATCAACTTAATATTAATAATATAAATAAAACTTAATATTGCTCATTGTACACACCTAAACGGTGAGTTGTTATTGTTTAGTGGGAACACATATGTAGACTTATTGTTATTGTTATTATTCTATAGCTTTACATGATTCAAAATACAGTAATCCTTATTTTTCTTATCCAGGTTGTCATAGCTCCCCTCCCCTTGAAGGCCAATGTTCCTCTCAAGTTAGGTTGGGACCCTTATATGGGAGCTCTATGACCCTCTGTTATAAGGTCTTTACTGTAAAATCAAAAGCGCCTTGGGACAGCTGTTGTTGTAATTTTGCACGATATAAATAGAATTGAATGAACAAGCACTTTGTGGTGGTTGGAAAGAAAAATTCTCTTTTACTAAGAAGAAACCTCAAGTAGAACCAGGCTCAGGGAGGGGCAGCCTGCAGATGGCTGGCATATAATCAGTTTACAAATTATGTTGAAAAGATATATAATGTAACCACTGCACACTGTCCCACTTACCATAATTTGTTATTCAGTTTCAGTCTGTGTGACCTTTGTCAGCTACAAAGGAGCAGTGTTCATGCACATTTGCACAGATATACACACTGAATAAGATTCAGCCAATTAGGGATTCCTCCTCTCACATGTGCATACTATCGATCAGGTAATGAGTCCACTGGAAACATCCATGCCATCATCAGAAAGCCCAACAACATTTAACATCGCCAGCTGATCTGAAAAAAGACCCTTGTATGTTAGAATCGGCGATGGCGTGCCGTGCACAGGGGCCAGTTTTGTACTTTTACTCTGGATATCTCAACTGGCTCATTATAATTGTGTGATACAGCTGCCTTTATTTAATTAAAATAGCTGAACAGCAGCTCCTTTCCATCACTGGAAAGTTGGATCCAAAAATTCAAGAATAAGTTCTCGATTGGCCAGATGGGGGTAGTATTTCCTCGCCTACACATGACACACATACACTAATCCATGTTCAGGGGTGTTGTGAACAAGCAAAGATGCACATCTGTCAGTATGCCAAGCTGTTTCTGATGTCTTTAACTTGGAACCCGAACTGTGTAGCAAGAGGGGGAAAAAAACAAATGTAAGTGTAAATTTAATTACTTTTTTCAGTCCCTGTAGTTTGGCTTCTGTCATAGAGACATAAAGAAAAAAAACTTCTAAGCTTACTGTGATGTGTAAAAATCTACACATCACGTTGTGAATATGGAAAAGAACCTACAGAGTGAGCTTTACTTGCTTAACTCTGTAGCAGACCTATCATGACAGTAATAAATAAAAAATAATTTAAAAAAAAACAAATTCATGGGTCAAAGGAGCGTGGTGGTGTGGGTGTGTGTGTGTGTGTGTGTTGGGGGGAGGGTTACAGGATTTACTGGTTAGGATAGTTATGCTATAGTGAAAATGCTGGATTTACATCCGGAACACTGAAGAGGAAAGATGCTGCGGAGGTATTATGACGGCTCTCTCCGCCCACGGTCCCCGCCCACCAGGCAGGAATAATAGTGTGTAAGTCACTTTGCAAATGAGGTTATCACTATCCAGGGATGCAGGCTGGAATATACGGTATGCAGAGAGTTTGGACAGAAGGATGATTTTCTGACTCCCAACTGAGAAATAGATCTACAGGTGGAGAGAAGAAACTTTAAATTAAACCAGTTATTAATTTTTTTAAATTTACAGTAATGTTTTTATGAAGGCAAGTGCAAATGTTTTTGTGCCTTTTTTTCCTTTACTTGATAGTCTAAAATAACGTTGTTTGGCTTTGTTTTGGACTAAAAATCTAAATGTGTTTTCATCAGTCGAGCAAACGATCTTCTTTACTTGGACATTTGGGCTTCTGCTTGTGGATTTGTTAGTAGGCTCTACTGCTGGCACCATGCCTTATCATGATGAGGAGTACCCCGGTCAGCCTCTGTGGCAGTCTGTGCTGCTTTTCTGCTGCAAGGGCATGATCGAGGGCATCATGGTCATTCTGTTCTTCTGGCTTCTGGTTCAGGTCCTGTTCACCAAACAGTTAGAAGGTACGGTATCCGAGTCCAAAACAATAACCACATCGCCACATGCTATTACCATATACATGCTGATGAAAGAGCTCCCTGGTCCATAACGGATGTGATTCTGTTGTTTTCATAGATAAAGCAAAGCTAGAATAACATCAAATGTTTCTTTCCAGTGTTTGTGTTTTTGGTACATTTTGTGTTGCTAAATCTCTTTGATAATTACATCATTTTTACTCATTTAGAAACCTACTTTAGTGATGCATATCTCCACAAATTAAGGGCTGTAAACTTGGCTACCCAATCATATTAGGAATGGCATATTTATTAATATATTGTTCAGTTTTTATGTGTATATTTTAAGAAAGCTCTGACAAAATTTGAACCAGTCATTTAGTAATATGCTAATATTTTCCAGCACATGGGCCAAAATACTACATTAACTGCATTATGTAATCCCAGAGTTGACTGAGATGAATTACTTCTGCCACCTGACCTTATTATCCCTTGTTGCTTCTACAGTTCATCTCCAGATTCTTCTTCTGGTTGGGCTGATCACCTTTTGTCTGTGTTTGGTCCTGGGATGCCTTCTGTGCTTGTGGAAAAGTAAAGTTTCTCGAGTGAAAGACAAAGCTCCTGCGACATCAGCACCAGCTCCTGCTGAACCTGTGTCCTTTGCTCAGACCTCACCTTCTCCCTCAGCAGCAGCAACAGCATCAGCATCCAAGCAGCAGTTTGATGAGCTGGATGAAGAAGTGCTGGAGTACCCGTCCACTTTTAGCAGCGCTGCTACTTCAGAGGGTGAATTTGGCTCTCTGGCATTTTCAAATCAAACTTCCTGTGAACAAAAGGAGCCTCCAAAGTCTTATTTTTCCCTGCGCCGCCTCAGCACACCTCTGCTTTCATCACCCCTTTATAAACCATTAGACCAGAGTCATAGCTCGCTGCCTTCCTTTCCCAAACTGGGACTACTGGCCAAAACACGTAAGGCCCTGCAGCGACGCTGCACTGTAACTGGGGAAGACATATCTTATAATGAGCACACTAGACTCACCAGACCCAGTGCTGGCTCTCCTTCTACAAAAGAAAAACCTATCCCATTGGCCCCACTAAGCTATGGCTCCAGTGCAAGCTGCCAACATCCAATAGCACCAAAACCCTGCCTCCACTTCACTATGGCCTTCTCTCCAGGGCAGCAAACCCTGACAGTCACTGTCCTCAGCCTCAGTGGGATGCCTCACAGGCTGGAAGATGTGTCTGTGCAGGGCAGCCTACCACCTCTCTGCCCCTTTCCTATGAAAGCCGCTGTGCAGAGCAGCTCCAGCTCTGAAGCCCACAGCCTGGTGCTAATTTTTAAGGTGAGCTTTGTGGAGGAGCTCCAAATGTGTGTACTGAAGGTAGCTGTGAATGCACGAGAACCAGCGAGCCCCAGACGCAGTTCTCTGGGTGAACTGGAAGCCGAGTGTGCAGGAAGAGACTGGACACCACAGACGCCACTTCACTTAACAAAAGAACTCAATCGAAGCAAGTAGAAAATAAAAAAGGTAGCGAAGGTTATACACCTGTGAGTGGTTTAAATGTCCGTACTTGGAGGTAAAAGCAACTTGAATGATTGATTAGGAACCTTTCGGGTACAAATTTTAGACCTCTGAACTTAAATCCTGGAACAATAACAAGATGGAAGAAAATGTAAACAAATTTCCAGATTTTTTTTCTGTAGTTTTATTTATTCATTGCTGTGTATGACAGAGCTAAATGTTCAAGTTGCAATTCCTGCCAATTAGGAATGCCCTCTTTGCTCTTTGAACTTTTGCCCTTTGATTGCAGAGTCTGACCTCTCAGGATGCACTGATGTGTAAGGGGCTTAGCTGTCCTCCACAGATCTTCATTTTGCTTCATTATCAGACTGTCGCACTCTGTTAAAGTCACGGTCCTCAGAGCTGATAATCTAGACAGCCTTGTTTCTACATCAGTGGCAGCAGGTAAAACCAGAGTTTGGTGTCACTTAAACTCGACAAAATGCGTATGTGATTTCAGAATGCTATAAGGGCATAATAGACAGATGTATTATATATATATATATATGGGTATATATATATATATATATATATGGGTATATATGGGTAGAACTAACTTTTTTCTTTCAGGGGCAGAGGTAAAGTAATTCCCTATGTTTGCTTTTAATGTTTAAGGGATTAAATGATGTCTTACAGGACCAGAATGCATCAGGAGATCATCCCTTTTTTAATGACATTGTGGTTTAATCCTTCGCTATTCACAATCCTCAGGAAACATTCCAATCTCCACTGGTGCTCTGATCTGTCAGGTCTAATCTTTGTATGCATTAGTCTGTCAAGGCATTATTTTTTTATTTTTCTATTGCATGCAAACTCATCCTGTATATAGATCCAAGTGATTTCATGATATCAGTTTCCTGCACAATATGTCACATAAGCATGACTCAGATAATCTATTTCTTTTATCTCAGAACCTGAAAGTACTTGTTCGTGAATAATAAGAGGCAGTATAGTGAATAACCCTTATATACTGTATATGCAAAGTTAAATGTGGTGCAAGTGCAGTGTAAATTCCAGCTAAATATCTAAATTTAAAAAATGTATTTCACTCTTTTTGAACACTTTCACTCTATGCTTTATTTAAGATCTAAATCGTCTAAAAATCTGCTAGTACTTAACGAAAGTTAGACACATTGTGTTTGTGTATATGCATATAGACTACCAGGTGATCAATCTGCACCACGAGGGAGTTTTGATGAGCAGCAGAGAGACTAGAGCAGGGTCCTGTACTGTGTGGAACACTTCTTTCCTGTTTGACCTGCCTCCAGGAGACATCAGTCAGCTGCCCCTCATGCTTGAATTTGTAATAAACCAGGTCATTAATCATCATATACCACGGCAATAGTTTTATTTTTCCGTTATAATAAATGCAGCACAATTCAGCATCCCCTCTCTTGTCTAATGTGGCAGAATGCAGTCCTTTCAGAAGCCAGAGTTGTTGGCCGAGTCTTCGTTGGAGCAGAGGCTGCAGATGCAGGACGTGCTCATTGGAGAGACATGTGCAGCCAGCATGTGGAGCAGGCATGATGACACACTATTCAACCTGAAACCGCAATAGAATAAGGCTGTTTGATGACCAATGGAGCGGATTTACTGTTGAGCTCTTTGGGCAACTAAAATGGTCAGACATGAAGCGCGTATGGATAGAGTCAACCTGTGATCTAGTTCACCTCAAGGTGCTGTCTACACTCAAGATGATACACACCCTCCTAATCTGGCAGCTTACTTGGACTTCAAAAATTTCCATCTATGGCATCCCAGTGGAGCTGCCCCCCAGCACTGCTGCTGTTTCAGTTCCTCCACCACCTCACTGTCAAAATGGGGACTTAAGGAGGTGTTATTAACTCATCGGCTCTGACAGATGTTTGAAAGGAGTGATGAGCTTGCAGCCAAACTCTGTATCCTGGAGTTGTCTGACTGAATTGTTGTTTAGGTATATGAAATGCCTGTGTTCAGTGAAACTCTGAGAAATCAGTTCTTTCAACATGGCCTTACTTCAGCATATCAGTCACTACATTCTTCTATGCAAAATGTAGAAAGTTGCTTTTAGTGTACGTTTCTGTAAAGCAAAGCCCAGAATAAACCTTTTAATTGTGCAGTCTTGTATCCATTTGGTTTCTATACCCAAAACATTTTAACTGAACACTATAGTCTTTACAATACAGATGTATTTGGTCCTTGTCACTAAAAATCTTTCTGCCGGATTTTATCAGCTAAAAATGCTAAAATTATTGTTGTTATGGTTCCGCTTAATGATTTTCTGTAACAACGATACAATAAAATATTTGAATGGAACAATCATTTTCTGTGAAGCATCAGGAATAAAGCTGGTTGGAGTCTTCACAAATACGTCATTTAACCTCTCCCTCCTCTTCATCAGGGCTACAGATGTGTACAAGCTCAGCCAGGAATATTCCATCAGGATAAAGGGGAAGTGTCCTCTTCCACTCTGGGCCATATTCATCTGAACACTGAGAAGACTTATCTGAGAGCTTTTTGGGGGGGCTACGGTCCCAGATTGACCTCTTTGACCTTAAGGCTTGACAAAAAGAAAAGACGGAGAAAATTTAAATTTCCAAACTTCAAATCCAACAAACAGACTAGAAATACAGAAAGAACTCAAACATAGAATCAGAAGGTGAATTCATTTAAACTAGAGACTTCTCCACCAATGACCATTTTTGTGCCTGTTAAAAAAAAAAAAAAAAACAACTTCATGGACATTTGTGGACATGTCCCTGTTTGGAATGAGTACATCCTAAGACTTGAAACACAACACAGCCATGCAGACACGTTTCTACACTACTCATTACACTGATCCTAGCACAGCTTCACCTTGCAGCAGACTGTCATTTTTTGCCTTCAGATTGTTGATTTCTGCAGTCATAGCTGAGATCTGATGAGGAGAGGAACAGTTTCAAACCTCTGACTTCATGTTTCCTCTTGCAGGTGTGCATTGACCATATTAATGCGCTATTTTATGATTTTAATCCTTTTTCTAAAAAATGTTCAGAAAAGTTGGTCAAAGATCTTCACATGGAAACACACTGTAACTCATTCCTATCCTTTCATGGTTGACTTCACTGTGTTTCTACTGAATGGTTAACTCCTTTGCTTTATATCCGATTATTTACCAAGTACAAGGAGTCATATTTGAGATTATAGCAGAAATGTTTTTTCCACGTACCATTTAAGCAGCTATGCAGTCAGAACGACAGCCCTGCTCTTTGATTAAAGTAGAAGCTGGGATTAGTGCTCTCTGCACATATGCGTGTATATATGTAATGAAAGTGAGGGCGTTTCAGAATTTCACAGTATAATCTGCGTGTCACGATAATGCCACTAAAGATATTAAGTCGAATCAGTTGCCGATGATATATATCCCTACAATATATATACTGTATATTCTTTTTATTCTTTTAGTTGGATTTTATAAATTTTTGAACTTGGTAATGCTTTCTGCAGTTGAACATTAAGTTTAATAACCTGCTGTTTCTGATCAAGGAGGCTTTCATCATGGGTCTCCTCTCCTGCCTCTCCCTCCTCCTCCTCTGCTGGACAGCCGTTAATCTCCTCTTCATCCTCCTCAAACACTGGCATCAAACCCGAGGCTTGTTGCCAGTTTCTCCTGTCCACTGCAGCCTGAGAGAAAGTCACAAACACTTTTTGGCCAGGATCATTGTGTTTTTCAGCTTTATATGGCTGAGGCTTCTTACCCTAACAAGTTTAACTGTGGGTGTCCAGTCTTGAGGTGAAGAGGCTCCATTGCTGTCACCCTGCTGGGCCTCCTTTCCCTCTCGTTCTTTAAATAAACTCTTTAACTACAGATGTAATAGAAAATAGCAGTTACTCAGGCTTGTTGTAACCTACTGCAGGTGTAAAACAAAACTGGCCACACTAGCAACTCCCTGAATGCTGGGACTAGCGCTATCAACATGCTAACATGCTAACACTAGTTAGAATGTACAAACTTTGTATAACTTTGTTTAATGTTTTAACCTGCTGGCCATCATTATGTAGCTGAAGCTGCAGGTAATACTGTTGTTGTTTATTAAATTAAGTACTTGATATAGTAATCATATTAGCATCTGATTTAAAATTTATTGGGATGTTTCACCGACAACCACAAGTCCAAACTTGTTGCAGGCTTTATCCTGAAATTCTCTGCAAAATCCTACGGCTCCCCTACCAATTCATATAAATAAGATTGTATTTCAGTGAAAGGTTAATAAGTAGACTGATTAACATTGCCACTCTGGAGCCATAGTGCTAACTTGGATCAGGACCAGAATCATACACTACCTGCTCAGTAACCAGTCTCCTTTGCTGCTCTGTGTCTACATTAAGCGGACAGACTGTTTTGCCCCTTTGGCCTTGGACAGAAGGTTTCCCATCTTCAACCTGTGGGCAAGATTTGCCTCATTTGTTACATTTACAAAGACAGGTGGCTTATAGTACATTCCATTTATGGACTTGACCTCATAAAACTGCCTCTGGGTTTGAAGCTTCGAGCTTGGGAGGATTTGGTTCACCTTCTCTGGAATCTCTGAAAACATCAGGAAGTCGTTTCAGAACTCAGCAAGGTAAATCAGTGCATTGAATCCTGGCAGGCCGGCTCATACCCTCTGAGTCACGAATGAAGATGTCTGTTAGAATGCTTCCCTGATCTTGGCCATCTTCGGGAAGCTTTTTCATGAGCTAAGGGGAGGAGATAAGAACATACCCTTCGGGTTATGAGTGGTTAAATGTGTTGATTTATAGTATGATCGGGTTGTAGTGACACTACCTTGAGCTCCAGGGCAGAAATCTTGATTTTAGCCTCATTTTTTTCCATCTCTCTCAGCCTTTCTAGAGTCTTTAAAGCATGTTCTCTAAGACAGTGCACATAGTCATCTGTTACACAGTCATTTTCAGAGTCTACAACAATACGTCACACATAAGTTTAAGAAGTAAGAAAGCTTACTTTTCGCTTAGTTCATTCTCTTTGTCTGCAAGTTTTTGCTTCAGCCTTTGAACCTCACTGCTTTGGATGCTGACCTGTATGTAAATTACGAAAGACAACATCATCTTCTCGTCACAGTTCCCCTACCTTCCATTAAGGTGTCAAAAATGCACATAAGTGAGGCAGGAATATTTTGTTACCTGAAGGGATTTGTTTGGGTGGCTCTCAGAGTCCCATAACAAAGAGGATTCTGATAAGCTGGAAAAAAACAGTTATGATGAAGCTCACAAAATTTCATTTCAAGCACTTTCCTGACATTGTGTTTTGAAAATGAAAATCTCATCAAAATCTACTTACCATGTCTCTGTCCCTTTGTCTGGAATCTGGCCCCCTTCACCTGCAAATACAACGCCCCCTTGTGTCAGAGAATTATTTAATACTGGATAACTGCAAAATACCTGATCTGTATTCTTGTCTGGAATATTTTCACTTGACACAGATTACTCAGAAGTGAGCTCACCTTTACCTTTGTCCTTATCTCTGTGAAGACGTGCCTGGCTCCTGCTCCTTTCCAGCTCCAGCTTTTCAAGCTCATCCCTGAGCAGCGAGTCACATCCTCCCTGAATGTTACAGGTGTTCAGTTATATCATCTACAGCTACAGGTTTCTATTCAGAGGCACACTGCCCTCTTTGTGCTGCTTCGGATTTAGATCTTTTTTCTCTAACTGGAAAAATATTATCAAAATGTTTGATGTTTGTTATACATGGCAATTCCTTTTTTAGCCTCAGCAGTATTTTATTATAAACACTTGGATAAATGCACTTATTAAAAATGATCTCCCTTCACAAAAATAGTGTGACGTATAAGTAAACAAAATCATTTTGTTTACTTATACTTCACTTGGATCTTCCACTGCACAGAGTTAAGTGTGTTCTGACATCAGAAGGCGGTGTTTACATTCATCTGCCCAAGAGGAAAACTTTCTTTGCACTTATTCCAGACATGTGTGATTGTGAGACATGACATGTTAGCCTGGAAGTTAGTCATGGTCCAGGAACTTATCCAAGTGCCTATGGAAAATATCAAGGTCTCATACACTGGGAAAAGACTTTAGTACAGTAGTAGTGTCTGAAAATGATTATTTGGGAGAAGCAGTATATGAGATATACTTCATGTCTTTAAGAGCATGGTAAAAGGATGTTCTTACTTTATTTCTTGAGTTCTTCTTTAACTCCTCTAACTCCTCTTGTGTAGACTGCAGGGTCAAAGCCACTTTTTGCCATTTCTCTGTCCAATGTGAGGCCACAGCCTTCAGTTCCTCGATGGTCTGGACCTTTACCACATCTTGTTTGCGACACTCTTCCTCCCGCTTTTCCTTCTCAAACACCTCACCCTCCAAGCGCAGACACTGATTCCTCAGTTTCTGGTTTTCTAATTCCAAGACTTCCACGGATTCCCTGAAGAAATAGTTTGACGTTTATGTAAAGAGAATTGTACTGCACTGCATAGTCAATAATGAATAAAGAAGCATCTTCTCATATTAAATAATATGTCTGATCTCCATCTCACCTGTGCTCACAGCACTTTTCCTGCATTTCTTCTCGTCTGCCTTTAATTTCACTCTGCAGTTCCTCTTTTTCTCTGATCAGCTGAGAGCACCGCACCTCCAGATCGGTGACCTGTTTGGTGTTTATGATTTTCTCATCTGTCAGCTCCTGTAGCTCGTGGTGTGATATCTCCAGCCTCTTCTTGATCATTTCAAGCTCTCCTCTTATTTTTTCATTTTCCTGGTGCAATTACAGGAAGGCAATACTTCAATTAAGAACCCTCCTCCCAACTAAAACTTATTGAAAGAATAGCTCCTCAAAAGCTTTTACAACCTCTCTGAGAGCCTTTGAGTCTTCCTTCACCACAACATCTTTCTGCTGCTGTTTGTTGTGAGTCTGCATCTCCAGGACTTGAACCCTGTGGAGAAGATTTGTCTTCTCCTGTAACGCACCCGAAAACCAAGATGTAGTTATAAATCACAGTGCTTTGATCGATGCTGTGGATTACACTCACATCACAGTTAAAAACAATACCTGTATCAGGTGATCTTTGTCACACAGAGCCTCAGTCAGTTTGGACTTTATTTCTTTTATATTGTCCTCCAACTTCAACACTTGAGTTGATAAGATGGCCTTTTCCTGAGCAAAATTAGGAAGATAATGTTTTAAATTAATTTTGATCATGTGTGTTGTAAAAACTGGACTTATGGGACTTTGATTGCACATTGAAGGAAGTTTAAAAAAAAAACCAATTTGGTAACATCATGAAACATTTGTCATTTAAAATGGATCACATCTCTTTTCTCCGGAGAACAAACTATACAATGTTAACTGGTCAAAAGAAATTTTGTTTATTGTCAGCTTTATCAGGCTTATGAGTGTGGATGTGCAATGAAATACTGAATTCTGGCAAACTGACCAGGCATGCTTGGCTGATCTTGTTGTTGGCTTCGCTCAGCTCTTTCTGCAGTTCAGAATGATCCTGTGCAGTGTGGCTGAGCTTCTTGTCCGTCTCCTCTATTTGACTCAACAGCGTCCTCTGCATCTGGGTGTGCACAGAAACAGAGCGCACACTGAAGAGATGAAAATAGCAACACCACTGATGCATGACACACGACACACTTTCATGTCACTTATACAAAACTATCTGCGATAACACGAAACCATCAACCGCTGATGATTCTTAGGGAAGGTATTTTCACACAAAACACTCATCTAAATATGACGGTGCACACAAAGAACCTCTTTTACAGAACTCCCCATCAGCAGCGAACTCCTCCGACAGGACAGTGTGAGTGCCACACCACAAAAACAAGTCAGAACAAGTCCATGTTCACTTGATGTAACAGAAAAGGGCCCAATGCACACAGTGTGGCCAGACAAGTGAACTTTTTCTGATTGTGCAGCTTTCCAGATACCTTGTTGCAGTGCAGCACAGCTCACTCTGTTCCGGCATCCTGCTCAATTAGGGGATGCAGAATTTTGGTCAGTCTCCCCTGATACCACACCCTGAACCCATTGCTCCAACCACACCCTGCCTGGCTTCCAATCTTCCCCAGTACCCACTGAAACAAGCCCATCCAACAGAGGATGGACCCCACAATCCACAAGACCCAAAGGATCCCTTGGAATCAAACCCCAAGAAAAAAACCCAAAAGTTCCACACAGTCAGATATCATTTGGTGAAACAAAACGGAGCAATACAATATATGACATTTGATTGTAGCATTGTGTTAAATTGTAATATTTTTAAATTCACCTCAATAGATGCTTGAAGCTGTTGGAGTGCCTTGTTACGCTCTTCTTCTAGTATCTTTGCCTTAGTCTCAGCCTCTTTCAGAGCCTCTCTCAACTCCAGCATCTCTGTGTCAACTTTCTGCTTCTCCTGGATTAAAACCATTTTTTAGAAAAAGTGTCATTTAGCAAAGGTGAACAAGGAGTCACACCTTGTTTAGCGTGAATCTTTTATAATAATCCAATGACTTCAACATCTGTCTGTTAAGACCTTCTTGACTCACTGGTAATGTTCTGTTGAGCGAGCCCGGAGCTCTCTCGGTTGATTGATCGATGCTTCCTCTGTCCAGAGCAGACCTCATATGTAACAAATCCTTCTCCAGATTTAAGACCCTTGTAAGCAAATATCATGTGAGAATTTTTTCTTAAATTCTTAAATATTTTTTTCCTGGACTTACTTTTCGCAGAGTTCTCTGCACTGTCTGCTTTTTTCATTTTCAGCTGATACAGCAGCCTTCTTCTCATCCTCGAGGCCCTTCATCATTTGTGGTAGCTGCTATGGGACACATTATTACGTGGTGAGAGGATGCTGTGTGCAAGACAAACCAAATACTTATCCAGAGTAGCAATCAATCCAAAACAGCTAAAGAGAATGAAAAAATCAACACACTCAAAACAAATAAGGCATTTGGTCTTAGACATTTCAATCAACTTGCCCTGCCAGGCAGCTGTGCAATAGCTGCGTTGTAGCTCAGCATGTCTCTGGTCTTCAGCCAGTCCAGTTGAGACTCAAGTCGCTCGTGAGCCTCCTGCAGCCAGTGCACCACTTCTGTTTGTCTGAAGCTACTTCCATCCCGGGCAGCCCTTAACTCAGCCCCTAATGATCGTGTGGGACTCTCAGGCCCCAGATGGGACAATGATTGCCACCTCCTTAGACCTGGGTCATTTTGCCTGGAGCCACCAGCACTGCTCGATGTTCAGAAACACATAAATTAGCCATATACCAACCTCACTGAAAACTCATGTCTCTATATAATATTCCCCCAACCTTGTGCTGACTTTGGACAGAAAGCCTGATCCTGATACAGATGCCACACCACACCATGCTGATGTCTAAAAAGAGGGGCGGGAAGCATTTTCTTTTAAATAATTACCTTCTGATTATTCAAGTTCAGAAATATAAAATGATATCTTGATCTTGCCTGGCCTGTAAAGCGAGATTTGGTGTCCCACATATCCAGGTCTGCGGAAGAAAATGGACTTGAACCCCTAAACATCCTGTAGCGTCTTCCTATCCAAGTTAATGCTCCTCTCTGTTTGCGAGATGTTACACTCCACACGTCTGCCCACGTGTCAAAGACAGATTTTCACACAAAGATGACAGCTCAACGTGTTGTGGCTATTCATAGATCATGTGTCTTGATATTTGAATTGCTTACTTCATGATCATCATCTGGTTTTAACACTTTGGGGTTGTTACGGCGTGTTTATGAAATTGAGATAATTCAGTGGTTGTTGTTCTTCATGTGTTTTTCACACCAGTCTCCATATCTAAATGCATGTATACCATGTCATCAACTGCATCATGAGAGATAAGAACAGATGTGCATGGTGAAATTTAAACTGACTTCTGCAGATGCACTAAATGACACTTTCTCTTACCTTGATGCAGAAACCCTCTCTTGTGCACTGAGGATGCTCATTTCATCTCATGGAGTATCACGCAGCTTTGATAACACCTTTTTCAGCATATAGCCCTTTAGCGCGTGTATCCATGACAGCCTCTGCACACAGGACTCTGTTGGGTGAGTGTGTCACGGATAACACTCCTGGGATAGCCTCTGCATGAGCTCACTTTGCCTGCTGACTTACTTGTTTGTTGACACGAGTTGTCAGGAGCATCTCCCAAACGACCAACTTGTCCTTGATTAATTATGCGTAACAGTAAATGATTGACTGTGATCGCTCTAAGCACAAAAAGAGAAAACAATGCTTGATATGATTGTTTTTTTTCTTTCTTTCTGTATTTAAACTTCAGGGAGCAACATGATGGATAATCTTTGGGCAGTTCTATAAATCAGTGTGAAATATTGCACACAAGTGGCAAAATCCAAATTTGTTTCTCTGCGTTAGCAAGTCAGACCATTATTCAGAAGCACTGCTCTGTTAATGAAAATTTTTCCACCAGCAACAAATATTTAATGACTCAATATTCTACTAACCAAATCTGTTTGAATTAGTGGTTTGCCACTTGCAAGTAGGTACTAGAACCCATGCTGAGATGGGATCACACCAGCTGAGACACTAATCACACCATTTCTGACTCATGAGAAGTCAGACATCATGACATCTGTATTTTGTACAAAGAAGTACTCGATACATGTTTGTTTAAAATTATGACCTTCGTTTTCTCAGTTACACATTTTTAAAATTGCAGTTCGTCTATCAATACCACAACAATTATGGGGACAAAATACACAAATGGATAAAAATGTATATACGTCTTTGTTTGCTTGTTTTAAAATATTTGTTTCAACTGAAAATCTAGAAGTGAGGTTATAGTGAGGTTTATGTGGAAGCTTTGTTTCTGCCACTAAGAAAAAAAAAGTCAAATGTCGACTTATTTATTACAATTGTGTATCTCAAATTTTTGACTTCTGTTGAAGTCATTTCTGAGAAAGTCTGAATTTTTAGATACCATAGGCGAAATTTCAAGTTTAGTTAATGAGACTAAACTGAAATTTGGACGTATAGAAGACAATTTTCTATTTTTTTCAGTGCCTGAAACAAGTTTCCATAATATCCATAAGATGTACCCACTAAAGGAAATTTGTTTTTGCCAACTGTAAGTCAAAGCTACGCTGTTACGTATCGCTATAGTTATATGAAATAACTGGAAATTTCGAGATACTAAGTATGTCAACATGTTGAGATACTAACCAGAGATTTTGAGATAATGAGTTGAAATTTCTATTTAGCTCTGCCTGACTTTTTGTGTTTGTGTGTTTGTGTGTGTGTGGGGGGGCAAAACAACCTTCACCACAGATTTCCAGCTGTCTGGCAAAAAATTGTTAAGCTTCGGCTCTTATTTCGAAAAGGTACTTCTTCCGGAAACAGGAAGTGGTATAAACCGTGAAAGCTTGCTCCATTCAAAAAGCTAAGAAGCTAATAGTTGAAGAAGAAACAGTTTTCTTATGAGCACTTAATATCGCAGTTTATTGAGTTGTATTGTTCAGGAGGCTCTTCATCACCGTAACTCCAAAAAGGTAAACAATTTTTTTTTTCAAGGCGATATTACCTTCATATAAAGTTAGCTAAGGTTGATAGCAGGCCGTGGCTAAGCTAGTCACGACTCTCTAGTAAAACCGAACGACTAGTATTTCTGATGTCCTGGTCACAAAGTTAGCTAACAGGATGATTCCTGTCTCTAGAAATCTTCTCTGACAATAATGCTACATAATTAATATTTTCTTTCTTAATAACACGTGCTGCAGAAATGGCCGCGGATTGGTTGGGTAGTTTGGTGTCAATTAACTGTGGACCAACGCTGGGAGTCTACCAGGGAGAAGTATCGTCTGTGGACCAGTCCAGCCAAACCATCTCCTTAAGACAGCCTTTCCACAATGGAGTCAAGTGTCCCGTGCCGGAGGTCACATTCAGGTAAGTCTGTGCTACTAAATGTTAGCTCATTGTCAACTTTTTAGCTCATCGGTTTTGTTATTTAACGTCATTCTGACTCATATTTTTTTTTCCCAGTGCCATTGACATAAAAGACCTAAAGATTTTAGATTTTAGAAATGACAATAGTCGGACTACCTCTGCTGCACCTGCAAAGGTAACCAGCGCACCGGTTGCAGTCCCAAAGGGTGACCCTAGATCTGTGGAGAAACTGAACTCTCCACAGCACTGCTCTAAAAGTTATGGAGAGCGTCATCTGGACATACCTGGCCAGCCTAAAGGATTCCGTCGAAGACATAACTCCTGTAAGTGCAATGCTGTTAAATTCACTAAAAATCTGTGGCAAAGTGGTTAACTATATATTTATCATCCCCTCAGGGTCAGCCAGTAATCGAGGGGTAAATCAAGTGACGCCGAAGAAGAATGGGGTGAAGAATGGCCAGATGAAGCAGAGAGATGATGAGTGTTTTGGCGACGGCGTGGATGATTTCCTGGACACAGACTTTGATTTTGAAGGAAACCTGGCTCTTTTTGACAAAGCAGCAGTTTTCTCAGAGATTGACATATCGGAGCGTCGTAATGGTGTGAGGTCACGCGGCACACCTCAGGAGCAGACTCCTACTCGGTACCGGCATGATGAGAACATCCTGGAGGCCAAACCTGTTGTGTACAGACAGATTACTGTACCGCAGCCTGGGGCCAAAGAATACTGCACCGGCAAGTGTTTTATATTGGAATGAATGAAGTGGAGATGCAGGTAAATCAATTTAAGCCTTATTGATGTTTGCTTTACTTTCCACAGACTCTGGACTTGTTGTACCGAGTATAACCTACGAACTGCACAAGCGTCTGTTGTCTGTTGCTGAGCGCCATGGTCTGTCACTGGAGAGGAGACTGGAAATGACTGGAGTGTGTGCCAGTCAGATGGCACTTACATTACTAGGGGGGCCAAACAGGTAAGCAATTATCTAAGATGTGCCTTTTGTTGAACTGGCAACATTTAGGAAATGATACTAATATATGGGGATTCTAAGTATCACATTATAGTTAAAATGGGTTTCAGTTTCACTTTGTTCTTTTTAAATATACTTTAAGAAGTTTTTAGTGCAGTGAAAACAGCTGTAAAAACCCCAAAATGAATATATACAAAATGCAATACTATTCCCTAGAAAGTAAATACTCCCCAGAGAGTGAGCTGCTTTGGTGGAGGTTTGTGCTCTGAGAGTACTTGTTTTTTTCTAAATTTCTCTCTTGTTTCTGTTTATTTCATATTTGTCGCATCAACACTAATTAACCTAGTCATTTTGTTCTTCTAAAGTACTAAATAAAACCTTTGCTATTCCTGCTTCTTCCAGATTCACCCCGAAGAATTTGCACCAGCATCCCACGGTGGCACTGCTGTGTGGCCCTCATGTTCAGGGAGCTCAGGGCATCAGCTGCGGTCGCCACCTGGCCAATCACGAAGTGGAGGTCGTCCTGTTTCTGCCAAACTTTGTCAAAATGCATGACGCCGTGACCAGCGAGGTCACCCTCTTCAACAAAACTGGTGGCAAACAGGTGTCCAGTATCAAAGGTAGGTTTGTTTTGTGGCTTTATTGATCTCTCCCCCTCCAAATACTGTTGGCTTCATTAAAAACAAAAGCGTTGCTAAATACCTTGACATTCTTCTTTTTTCTCTGTGGCTCCACAGACCTCCCTGACACCCCTGTGGATCTAATCATTAACTGTCTGGACTGTCATGAGAACACATTCCTGATGGATCAGCCTTGGTACTGGGCGGCTGCAGACTGGGCGAATCAGAACAGAGCACCAGTGCTAAGCTTAGATCCCCCTGCTAGCGGCCAGGGGCAGGCAGTTGAAGCCAAATGGTCCCTCTCACTTTGCCTTCCACTCCCCTTAGCTGAAGGGGCTGGCAGGGTCTACCTGTGTGACATAGGAATTCCTCGCCAGGTGTTCCAGGAAGTGGGAATCAAATACCATTCTCCCTTTGGCTGCAAATTTGTCATCCCCTTGCACTCTGCATAACGGGTCAGATGGTCGACATCTCACGTCATGTTGACAGATTAAATCTTTTACCTTCCATGACCGTTTGGGTTTTGGCGCCTTATATTCCAGAGTTAGATCTGTTTTTCCAGTTTATCTGTGAAATTTCTAACTCGGCGTGTGCAAACAGATCTTTTTCCTCATACTGAAGGACCAGTGGTGATGCATCTTACAGTAGCGTAGTAGGATTAAGTGCATATAGATAGAGATAGGGGGGAAAAATGTAAGCATTTCTGAAAATACAGACTTTTGGAGGGTATAGCAAGCAGTTTAATAAGATTGCTAATAAGTCTTGTTAATTCATAATGATAACCAAAGTGTCAAAGAATGCAACATTAGAGCCGTTTCAAAGAGGGAATACAGGAGAACAGTGCTGGTTTCTTCAACTTTTTATGTTAAAGTTTCTCTTGCTGTCAGTTCAAACATAAATATGGTGTCGTGCACGCCATATCTGCAATATGTGCACAGCACTTGTGGCAAAGATCATTGTCAGCGTTGTGTCAAACAAAGTCTAACCACATTTAGTTCTCCGTGCTGTAGTCACGAAGAACACAGCATCTAGTTGTCTTTGTGTATGTGCTGCAGAGAAGAGCGTCTGCTTTAGCCCTCACACATACTCAGAGCTCCTGGTTCTGGATTGTGAAAATCTAAAAGTGTACTATAGGCTTCATCTTATTGTACAATACATGCAGTGGCATAAAATGTTACACGTCATGTTTTTGCTGTTTAGGGCTATCTTTTGTGAGCTCTCAAAAGGCAGGAGACGTGCAGTCATAATCCTCTTCACACTTGTCTGTTATAATGACTGCATACATTCAGACTTGCGCCATGTTGAAAGTATGATATGTAAATGTTAGTCTGTTTTAGATTGCTGCAGGGACTTTTATGAGTGTGTGACTGTGTGCTTGTTCAGACATGAAGTTGACACATTAAGATGCTGACAGCTTAATGGCTGTAAGGGGCTTTAATGTTCAGATTTAAAGTGAGTAGGACAATCACTGATTTAAAACAGGAAAGTTCTGAAAGTCATGGCAATCTAACTTTCTTTCAAAGCACTCCAGTGATTAGACGCAGATTCATCTCGGTTTACACGCATGAACAATTTTCACACGTGTTGGGATCTGACGGCTTACAGTTAAGCTTACGCTGGTCTTTCCATTGCTGCCTGCAGTACTTTGCCACATTCTGTCACTGTTATGTAATGCTTTGTTGGGAATTAAGCTTGTAATATTTGTCCTAAATAACAAGGTGTTCAAATACAAGAGCAGCAGATTACAACAGCTTTTTTGTCTCTTCTGCAAATTATATTGTGATGATAAGGGCTCTGGAAACAAGACATGACATGTAAAATAGATACAGTCGTACCTTTTCATGATAATTTAAGGGGAAATAAGTTTATTAAACTTTGGTACAGTTATGGGATGAAGGGCTTTACTGTTGTTTGAAAGGCCCAAAGTTCTATTTGTACAACTCATGCAAAATCTTTATTGCTTCATCGAATGCCAACTAGAGTTTAGATTTGTTAAATATATTTTTCATACAGCGTCTGTTGTCTTTCAGCCATTACTGTATTATGGAGAAAATATTCAGTAGACTGCAGACTAAGTACTGATACCATATTCTCTCACAGTGAACTATCAAGTCTGCTAATTCTTGGCGATGTTGGGTACAACAGATTGGATTCAAAAGCCAACTTTGCTTTACACAATCAAAACTGGTGCAGACTTGATGAGGTCAAAGCGATTGCACAACTTCGACAAGTTTTTGCAGTATTGCATGTTTCATATGCAGAAGTTAATAGAAGTTTGTCAAAGCGGAGCCCGAAGTGGCACAATTATAAGTGACACTTTGGCTAAAAATAAGTCCGACCAAACAGGTTGGAGTGATATTTTTATTTTTATTTTTTTTTCTTGTAATCAAATGTTACTTTCTGTGTGGTGGGATTCAAATGTATTTCAATTCATTTGTGCTGATGCAGCGTCCTACACTTGAATACTTTCTAGGAACCAATAAAATTGGCTTAAAAAAAAGAACTGCAGGATTGGGCAATCGTGGAAATCACAAAATATTCTTGATTCTTGTGTTCACGCTTTTATTTCAGGACATTAAGCTGATATTTAACAATACACTAAATCACAAACTGTGAAGTTCAAGTGCAGCTGCTTTTTTTTTTTCTTTTTTTTTTCTTCCCTTTGATGCCTTGATTGGAGGCATGTCTACTCAGATCTTTCAAGCAATGAATGTAACCATTTGCTGCTTGTGAAACACCACATTGATTTGAAATGTGTCCAGAAGTGTATTACGTTGAGGTTACCAATCTGTGTCGGATCTGCATAGCTGTTCTCTAACGTGCCCTTATTTGGAGTTGGATTGTGTATTCTTTGAAATTGGTGTAAGAAAGGCTAAATTTAAGCAGTCCACACCATCTGAGGATTTTTTTTTTTGAAAGTCATTGTAATTGTTTCTTTTGTGTAAATTAATCTGCACACACTTCATGTACCGATTTGCCCAAAGTTACTTTCATACTTAAGGATTTTGTCCTTTCGCTAACATTCCTCTGACTACATGTGTTATGTCACATCTGTTGAGACAAGTCTGGCTTGGAAACGTCATCAGCCAGCGTTGCTGAATGTGAATAAAATGAGTTTAGTTCGTCTTTGGCCACTAGGGGGCAGTGAATAAATTTTTTTATGGTGGTTCCCTTTTGTTCTGCTGTAATGACAACTTTGTGTACTTAACACTATTTTCTCATCAACGGCAACAAAGAAAGGATTGTATATCAATAAAATGTGAACAGTCGAAGAACTTGGATCAGTCTGACTTTTTACAGGAAATATGTTTGTGCAAGTCTTTCTGCAGCAGCAGCAGATGGGGATTCCCTCCTCCCCCTGCACCCCCATTTTTCTTTTCTTTTTAATCATTTATATGTCTTAAATGTTAAGGGCAGACATGCATATTAACTCGAGAAATATATAGACACGCAACTTTGCAACACAGAATTTGTTTTTTTTTTAGTGAGTTCCCTTTGAAGCCTCATGTGCAAAGTGCTGCTCAGTCTTAATATGTCACATCTGCAGGTTGAACCAATTAAATGAAAACAACTGCACCCACGCTGTCCCTGTATCTTGGTTTCTTGTTATTATTGCCTCATCGATGATCAAATTCCTTCACCGAATTGACTGAGACATATCCTGTGGGGACTTATTTTTAGTTGTCAGCAACGCGCATGCGCAAAATCAAGGTGGGGCCAAAAAAAAAAAAAACTTGAATGTGACGGGGAAAAGGAGTAGCGCAGAGCGAACTTGACTCAAATTAAGTTTAATCCTTTTTAATTACTCACCGCGATTTTACTGAGTAATACTTATCGCCGTGGCGGGAGTTTTTATTTCTCCCTCTAAACGGAAGGACGACACAAAAGAGGCGATACATCTGTGGAAGTTTACTTTGTTTTGCTGTCTTTTTTCATTTATAGGTCTGTTTTGTAAATAGTCTTGACTGGAGACGCATCAACGCCGCTGCCTGTTGTTTTTAGTCGAGTTTCGTTTGGTGCCGTTCAAGTTTTCTGATCACCTGAGACAGTTTTCACTTCTTCCTCATCAGGACTGGATGTGTTTTGCGCTTCAGCATCGACTGTCGGTTATTTATTGCGTGAATGGCAAACTGTGCTCTCCTGTAGAAGGAAAAACAAACGTGCGGAATCACCTGTAAGCGCTTCAAATCGGCTGCTTTTACCTGCAAACAGGTAAGATTTCAAGTTTGAGACAGAGCTGCCTTTAAATTTTAAAATGTGCTGTTTATTTTAAAGTAGATGCAATGACTGACAGCTCTGGCGGAGATAAATGTTAGGATGTCGAATGGGCATGGATAGTTTATTCAAACATCACAATGAAAAAGTCTTTTTTAAATGAGTCGATTATAGACGTGGCCCTACTAACATCCTCCTCCAAACTTCTACCACTTCCTCTGACTTCCTGGGGTGAAGAAGAAGCTGCAGCGCACAGCTGTCCACATTGCTGTGTTATAACATGTTGGGTGACTAGTAATAATCTGCTTTCGAGCTGGAGAGCAGCATTCATTCCCACTGTCACGGACTTTGGGATCTTTGACAGCTTTTTGAAGTTTTGTTAACGGTGGGCGCACTTTCACGTGCACGTGCATGCTACAAGTTGCAGAGCGGTGCTGTTAAATGTTCGTCGGGTAGGCTGCACCCGTCAGAAAATGGCAAAAAGCGATTAATGCACGTCAGAAAACAACATTTCCGCTATCAGAGATCTAGCTGAGCGGAGCATCTCTCGGGTGTGTTTTCTGGGTGATGCCCTTTTCGCTGAAACGGGACTTCCCTCCTTTTTCGGACAAAGTGTGAAGTGTGCGCTGGTGCAGCAACGGATCTCCTGACCAGCAAAGATTCTTCTTTTAGAGTACGATAAACTGTAAAGAAAGATTAAGCTGTTGAAACAGGATGGAGAGAAGTTCGTAAAACCGCAGCAAAGCTTTGCTGCTGCACTATAATGTGTCACGCCTGGCTGCATGAGCAGCAGCAGCCTTGCACTGCACTTCACTCTGCGCTGTGCACACAGCACCCATAAAACAGCCTGCATGTGATCGCGCCACAGCGAGGAAAGGTCCATCCGCTGTTCAGGCACGGCAGTTTCGACTTATATGGTGTTTTTGATGCCGTGTTTCCTTGGTGAAGTCAACATGACCAAACGTTCTCCAGCGTGAAGAGGTTTGGTACGTCATGCGAACTTTGGATGGCAATAAAATGCAAAGTTCACTAGAATGGCTGGCTGGCCAAAATGCAGGGGATTGCCCCTGATTAACAATCGCTTATCCTTCTTCCTGCTACGCTGAAAACAACCTTGTTTCTCAGTTTAGCTTTTGTGTTTGTTTATGATAAATTGGATGCTATTTTAAGTACACACCTAGTTTTTAACCCCCCCCCCACCACAAGCGTCACAGGAAAAACTCTGAGCTATTAAAAGTGATACAATGATGGTCTGTGTTTCGGGTCCAAACACTGGACTCGCACTTCCTCTCTCAGATCCTACAGACGTTTGTTTCAGTCAGCTGTGCAAAAGCACCACAGTCCAGCTGCTGCCCCTAAAGGCAGAGGTGACTTCCTTCTCAGGAACATCTGCTGGCTGTTGTTATAGACCCCCACCAGCCTTCTCTTTGTGCTCATTACTGTTCACTGGATGTGTCTGTCTGTGTGCCAGCCAGGTGGCAGCTCAGTGGATGTTGACAAAAGTCAAGTGTTTATTTCTCTCTCTGCTGCCTGCTGCTGTTACAGTGTTGCTAACAGGACAGTAGTATCAAAGCAACTGAAGAGCATCATGAGGCTGGAGTGCTGGCCCTCTGCTGCACTTAGAGAAACGATAGGAGCCTTTAGTAAAAGAATCAATCAGATGATTTACTGAGATGAACCACTAGGTTAATGTTAACAACACATTTTTACGATCCTGCAAAATCTTAAGAATTAAACGCTGTATGATGTATCATTATGGCATCAACAGGCTTTAATGCTTTAAATAATTTGAATTTGAGCGGTGCTTTTCTACACTTTACACACAAGCCACGTTCATGTGTTTTTAATACTTTTTCCTGCAGTGCATTTTCTATTATTACAGGGGGTTCAGGATCCATCCCATTTATACACAAAGACCCACTCTACCTGAGCCACAGTCTCATTTTATGATCTCATGGTCTTCGATGTGTGACTAAAAGAAGAGGGAGTCATTTCTGATAGCTCTGGGGAATAAACAATTAGCTAATCCAGCCTCCCACCGTGCACAATCGACATTTTCACCTCGGTTATTGTCTGTGAGTAAATGAGGGAGTGGCAGATTTTAGGTCAAAGAAGATGTTTTTACATTCTTGTCCTGTCTTGCTCCGTGCAGTCAGGCTGCCGCTGATTAGTTCAGTAAAGACTGCAACTGACTTGCACAAGAAGGCACAAGAGACAAGTGTTGATCAGTGGTTTGATTTGGACAACAGGATTGTTTTAAACTGCAAGAACATGCGATATTATACCATGTAAGAGCTGTATGAGCTTATTTTGCAGTTATACAGTCCAACACTATTTATTAGTCACTCTTTATGATTAAACTAATCGACTGTGGCTTCCTTTTATTTTTGGGAATGAATGTTGTCCATCGCCTCCCTTCATTCAACTTATATCTGTGTATGTGCACAATTATGAGATTTATGTCTACAATTAATGTAGAGCAGTAAACACAAAACGGAACAGTGAGCAAAATTTAAAGATCAAGTCACATCGCTGCCCTTAAAACTGCTCAGTGGATGCATTGATGATGATGTTGGATCTAATGAGACTGGGGTCAGCAGAAATTTGACTCACTCACAATAAGATCCTTTGCTGCTTCCTGAAAAAAAGCAAGCTGTGGCTCCATGCAGAGCTCTGTGGAAATGGCAGTGGGAGTCTGTGGCAGAATGAGCTGTGTCCCGTTCACTCAGCTGCTGGTGGCCTGCTGCTGGGAAGCATTCAGCGTCCCAGAAGAGATTAATATGAAAAAAGGGGGGAAAAGCTGCTGACCCCGTTGATACATTCTTCTTTTGACGAGACTCTTTACAAAGGGTTTCCCTCACACATATTCTGTTGCAGTCCACAACTTCTGGTGGCTTTCAGAGCATCGTCAGCATAATGTCCTGCTTCGAGGTAAAACTCAGATGATTGTACTTTTGATCTGTTTCAGTCACAAAATAACCTTGTGGATCTGGAAATGCTGATTTGGAAACCACCATTTAAATCTGTAGTGACAAAAAAAAACTACTTTTAACAGCGCCCAAATATTCAGTGTTTAGGAATAACTGATACATATGAAGACGATGCATTTCAATTTTGGGGGGAAAATACTTTGAGGCTTAGCGATAACCTTCCAGCTACTTTCATCTCTTGTATGGTGTCTATCTGCCTTTAATCTTGTCTTCAACACCTAAAATGCAGTACAGTCAGCCTGGGATCAGGTGATCATCCTGGCCAGTCAATCCTTTAGATAATCTGGTTTTATATTTAGGATTGTTACCTTGCTTGATGATGAAAAGTGGAAAAAAATTGAATTAGCAGGTCCAATATTGGATTTAAAATCAAATGTGCTGGAGCACAGAGCCAAAATATGAAAAGCCTGTAACTGTCCACACTGTTTGGACTGTGTGACATCAAGTATTTGATACATTGTCATAAAAGTTTATTCCAACAGTCGCAGCGTACAGTACACCAACATTGTCGACTTTGGCGAACACCCGACGTTCCCTGTATTACATCAGCGGCTTTTCATTTTGGGGTCGTAGTGAAATAGATCCTAAATTGAATGGGGTACAGCTGTATGGACAGATGGTCTACCACCAGACGTTTCTGAAAAAATAGTCAACTGTATTAATCTAGGTAAGCTTATCCTTTAGTTAGAGAGGTCATGATAGTTATGATATGCACAAAATTAATGTATTATTCCCTTCTGCAGGTAGGGATTGGCTTTGAATGTATTCACAAAAAAACCTATTTAATATTAAACAACAGCTCTGACTTTTACTAACATAAGTAAAAATGTCCCAGTGGCCACAATGGGAGTTAAGTGGCCTCAATGTGCCGAGTCACTCTATAAAAAACCTTGTGACTATAAAATTATGATTTTTTTTACAGCTTAACTGAAAATAAAATGCAGAGAAAGTACATTTCATAATAACTGAATCATAGTGAACAGAGTGCTTGCAACTCCCTCACTTTTGGGATCTCCATACTGAACATCCCGACACAACAAACACACAACTTTACATTCTCTCTCTCTTTTTCTTTGTTAAAATTGGACTAGGTTACATTGTTTCATTTATAATCGGCAGCTAACACACGCTGTCTTTTGGACTCTCTGTGATGTCTCTTGGCCAGTGTTGGTGGTCTAAATTTGGGAAATGCCCGATGTTCACACTTTGTCCTAAGATGAGATAACGTTTCCTTTATTTATCCTAGAGATGGGGATTTCCTTTGTTATCACAGTTAAAATGTAATAATAGTAATGTAAAATAGGTATATATTTAGATTAAAAGATACTGAAAACTTATTATAGAATAAGACAAAATATTTTCAAAATAAACGATGCAGAAACAATAGCTTACTAAATGTAGTTTTAGGTGGTAAAAAGCTTGTTTTCTTTTAATAATAAAGCAGGGACTTTGAGGTTTGTTCTTATTTGGCATGAGATTTGTTTGGGAAGCACAGGATCATGCAACATAAGGTAAAAGCATGGGTCATTACCAGATTGCTCGAGTTGGGATGAAATTGTGTCGTTGCTACAGCATTGATTTTATTTAATAATTAATAATTTAATAATGATGAATAAACCACATGAAGCTGTGGGTGATGGTACTGTCGTTGATTTATGTGCCGCTTTCGTCATTAACAGGTTGATGAATTTGCTTACCAGAAGGTTGCGCTCATGGGAAATTGATGAAATGCCCAAAGAGTATAGAAGTCATCTCGAAGCCCCTGTGAATGCACACGCAAATTTTCACAGCAACACTTGTAATAGTTAGTTCAAGCATTCATGTCAAGATCTGTGATGTGCTGACCCACAGACCTAAAGTGAGATCTTCATAGCCACACCAACAGCACGGCTAAAAATATCACATGCTTTTCTGACTTCTCTCTTATTTTTCCATATGAACAGACAGAATGTTTTTCTCACCACAGTTTTGCATTTTGGTGTGTGTCAATAATTTGTTTGTCTTTAAAGTCTTTGTAAAGATAAAAAAGAAACACACACACACACACACACCACAGCTGCACACAAACACACCTACACAAGAATAACTGGCCCACAGCAGCTCGGTTATCTTTGCCTTTCTTTGACTGTCTGCACATAGTAGAGCTGGGTTGGGGTGAGCAGAGTGGGGCTGTTCTTAAGGGTGTGGGAAATGTGTCCAGATAGTTTTGTCCCTTGATACAGGAGACAGCTGCACCACTCCATAAGGGACCACATCCATCACATCCCCATGGTGCGGTGTGATGACAGTCTCGTGATAGTTTTTAGACACACGCTTGTCTGAGAAATGGCGGGCTATTTATTTAAACAGAAAAACACACCAGATGGGAGAAGCGTTATAAGAGAAGAGGATTTTTTTCATTTATCGCGTTTCTAAGCAACCCACCCTAAAGTTGGTGTGTACAGAAGTTGGGATGTCGTACAGGAAGTTGACTGCACTGCAGTGGACATGTCAAAGGATGTGACCTCATGTAAAGTGACAGTTTATCAGAGCCAGGATTTTCCCTGAGCTCTGACCATTTGAGCCCTGCCACCTCTTCCTGGGAACTGATAGAGCAAGAGAGGAAGTGGGGTTTGGGGGGAAAGAGAGAGGGAGGATGTGGAGCATGACTTAATCTGTAGGTCATCATTTAACTATGATGTCTTTGCTCTGATTGGTTGTGTGTTTATGTGTGTGTGTATCATGGAAACACAGGCCCCGGGGTTACTCAGGCCTAACGTTAGTGTCACAGTGGCTGTTTTATTGGCATAAAGTAATGCTGGGCTGGATGAGTCCCTGGGGCCTGGTCAGATCTCACCACAAGTTTGCATTCCAGGGTTGGAAGAGAGCTATCTTGATTCCTACAAAGCCCAGTCATTGAGTTTAAGATGGAGAACCAGTGTGTGCCTTATTTTAGGTCAGACCAAGCTAGGTTTTCACATGAAATACACAGTAGGGAGTAGGTTGCATTTTGGTCTCTTTATCTCTTACTTTAGCATGTCAGAGTGCATTTCTTACTTTGTATGAAATATTCTACAGTGAAAGAGCTTCTTTATGTTGGCACTGTTTTCCTCCATCATGGAAACATTATGCACTAGTTGTGAAAGTGTGTTTAAAAAAAGAAAACCTGTTAGTTCTGCTTTCTGTCTGAGCGAGTTATTTTTACCGACACTGTCTGATCTGACGTTACTCCAGTGTGCTGTGATAATGGCTCATCTGCTTGCTTCGAATTACCATGTGCCCCCGTACAGCGAAACCACAAATTCATTATCTTCCTGAGAATTTGCTTGCGGTCGGGTCAGTATCAGTAAACAGGGGGACATCCTAGTTACTCTTCTGCTCGCTTTCACAGGTACTGCGTGCGCGCGTGTGTGTTTACCAGCTCTAATGGTAGGAGCTAGCAAACCTCACCTGTGAGAGGATCGAACCGCCTCACCATGACAGAGGTCCAGGTAAGGTCCAGGTGGTGTGTGACAAAAATTGCAAGCACAAATGAAAAAATATGGATTTTTACTGAAACAGTGACCGTCCCTCGCTTTTATAGAACCCATGGCCGCAGGGCACAGAGTGTGTGGCCAGGTATAACTTCAAAGGCACAACAGAGCAGGACCTGCCCTTTAACAAAGGAGACGTGTTGACTATCATTGTTGTCACAAAGGTAACATTTCTTTTTTGTTGTCTGCGTTTCTATGAAGACACAGCTCTGTGTTTGATGCCATGCGGCGCCGCTCAGTAAACTTTTTGCATTTCAGGATCCAAACTGGTACAAGGCTAAAAATTCTGCAGGCCGCGAGGGAACGATCCCAGCCAACTATGTCCAGAAAAGGGAAGGTGTGAAAAGTGGGGGAAAGCTGAGTCTAATGCCGTAAGTATATAGATTCTCATGAGCATCGGTTGTCTGTATCTCTTGCCGCAGCACCATCTTTGTGCGGCGTTTTTAGCAGTGTTTAAAATAGCTTGACTTTGCCCTCTTCCATGGCTGTGTGGTTGCAGAAGGCTGATGGCCTATTTGTCGTGGCAATTGCACAGTAGTTGTGTGAATGGAGACCACAGTTTGGTTGAGCTGTGTTGTAATTGCAGTGCACGTCTGTCTGCTTCCACCTCAGGTTTGCATGAACTCTGCACAGTTTCCTGTTGTTTCTTTTCTATTTCAGACTGAAGTAATCTAAAAAATCTCCCCACTTGTCCACGTCATGGGTTTGCTGCTGCAGGCATGTGCATATGTATGAATGCCAGCTTTATTTAGAGCGCACTTGCTGATAAACTTTAATGCAAATCGAACTGTACCAGAAACCAAATAAGATAATAATTTTCCTTTAGCATAAGGTGCCTAGGATTGAGCTTAACTCATCAGTTGCTATGTATAAATGTATGCTTTCAGACATGTGATATCTCATTCACAGTTGCTTTAAAAAAATGCCTTCTCTTGGAAATGGAAATGAGTAAAAGAAAACCAACTCTCACATAGTGTGCAGTTCTCAGTAAATATTACCAGTAATGAATATGAGCTTACACTGATAAAAGGGGATCTTGACCTCAAAAAGTTCTGTATTACGAGCTAAGATGAGAACCCGTAATACAGAACTGAAAGGAAAACTTTATAACGATACTTTCCTTTCAGCTTGGAGGGAAACTGCTTCTGTGTCTGTAAAGAAAAGCTTTCCAACAAGCTTTATTGTGTGATATTTAAATGTAACTTTCGTATGGAGCCAAGTGCAAATGCATACGCTGTACATTCCAAAAACCACATTTAAATATGTGACAGCCTCTGTTGTATAACTGGTTGCAGTGGATATGCAAATCACCCTAATCTATATATCTGGATGATGAAGGCAGTAGTTGTTTAATTTGCATTAAAGCCCCATTTAAGGTTTGTGATAACACTGTGAGGTTGATTAAACGCGGAAAGATGAAAATTTTTCAAAGACTAAAGCAATAATCAGCCACAATTATCCCTTTATTTTGTGTTAGGAAAGGAGATTTAGCTTTTCCTGTCTTTGCACGTGTTGTCTGATTAACAGCTCTAAGCATTATTTTAATAGTGAGGAACGTGAGAAAATGGACAAATAGGTACAGTAGCTATAAAAAAATTACTTTCAGCTTGAGTTGTTGAAAAAAAAAAATCAGCTTCAGCACTCTTAGAATGAATATTTTTGTTTTGACCTTCATCTGGCAAATGCATACATGCGTACACCACCGAACACTCAGCCAGTACCAGGAAGCTACAAACCTATGAGCAAAACACACCTGTCAGCATGAGAGAAAGAAACTTTGATATTAAGGCCTGCTAGTGTAACTTCCCTTTGATGAACCAGCCAAACTTTAAGGCAGTTTTTAGCGTGTAAGAACGCGCTGCGAGAACCAGGTAGTTTACTGAATGTGGTTATTTATAATCCCGACTCTTAATATAGCGGCTACACTGAAAACCACAATACCCAAATAAATTTTTAAAAAAATAATAAATGTAATCTGTTCAGCAGACACTGGTGCCGTGGCTTTACATGGAAAATAGAGCGTATGAACAGTAACAGAAAGTGAAACATCAAGGTTACAGTTGTTTTCTCCCAAATGCACAAAATATATATATTTACTTACAATATATATGTTTGTAAAAAGAAGGAACGTGACAGTGTAACAAGTAAAAAAAAGTCAAGCGTAAAATGAAATGCACAATCAAACCATCTAAGGCTTTAAAAGACCCAGTTTAAGAATGACTGGATCCAAGTGGGTAAAATAGGAGGAAGACATTTAACTAATAATGTTTGTTAATGATTGATGCAGACAGTAGAATGGATGCAGGCACAGTCTATATGTTGTTATTGGATATGTCACGTGTACATACAGCTGATGTGAATTTGGAGTTGCTGGGCTGATCTGTTGGTTTTGTCGGTGTTCTGATTTCTGGCTACCTCTTCCACCAGATGGTTTCATGGCAAGATAACTCGGGATCAGGCGGAGCGGTTGCTTAACCCCCCTGAGACAGGCCTGTTCTTGGTGCGGGAAAGCACTAACTTCCCTGGCGACTACACTCTGTGTGTGAGCTGCGACGGTAAGGTGGAGCACTATCGCATCATCTACCACAACGGCAAGCTCACCATCGATGAAGAGGCCTATTTTGAAAACCTCATGCAGCTTGTAGAGGTAAGGCGCAAATTGGGCTTTGATTTCTAAATAAAACAAAGTGTTTCTGATATTTTCTAGGAGGCTATATTGAGCATCAGTCTACTGTAAGCATGTTTTAGCCTCCCCATGTTACTGTGCTAGTTCAGAGAGTCTGTGCAGTTCCTGGAACATATAATGAACAGGAAGTATCAAAGAGGAAGTGAACAGTATGCTGAGGTTCAGAGTTCTAACCTCAAACAGATACTAGGTCTTTACTCTCAAAATGACTGCTTTTCCTGTGTGAAATGCTTATTTTGAACAGCAACATACTATTTATTCTGCACAGTAAAGTCGATTTGTGTCTGTAAGTTCTGGCCAACTGAAGCTTTTCAGTCAACCATTGCATGTGGTTTTGACCGTATTTGACCAGGCAGCCCTCTGTTGGTCACAGGTATACACTATTCAATGAGTTTTACTCATGTTATTTTACAGAAGTTCACAAAGGTTTGAACTTCACGCTTCAGTTTCTTTTAAAATACAGCTACAGCACCCACAAGCAATATAAGAAGGACAAAGATAAGTAGCGAAACCCACAGCTGTACTCATTAGGTGCTCTAAACCAATCCTCTAAAAGATGATGCAGAGTGAAAGTTGCTATTCAAATTGGTTTGAGCTTTTTTCTGCAAATAAATGAAGGGGGAATTTTCTTTCCAAAATACTAAAGCTGCTTTGAAGCTCTGAATGTGGTTCTGATAGTTTCTGTCATGGTAAAAGTTCCTTTGCTCTTATGAGGCCATGTGCACTGTATTTTATCTCTTATTCTATGTAGCACTACACCAAAGATGCTGATGGCCTCTGCACCAAACTAATCAAGCCAAAGCTGGAGGAAGGGACGGTGGCTGCGCAGGATGAATTTTCCAGGAGTAAGCTTGCCGGTTCTTTGTAACTTGTACAGCAGGGACATTGTGGATTTTTATTATTATTTTCATTTTTCTTTTATTTATTGTTCTTGATGATCAAAAGCTTGTTTGCATCTCAGCTGAATTCTGTTTCTACTTTCAATGATGAACAGGTGGCTGGTCGTTGAGCAGAAAAGACCTCAAGCTGCAGCAGGTTATTGGAAAAGGAGAATTTGGAGGTAAGTAGATTAGGGTTCATGTTTACTTAAGATGAGCTTAAACTCCATGGTGAGTTTAAGCCCAGTCTTAATTTCTTGCATGAAACAGAAATCAGAGCAACATAAAGATGTGACGCATCATATGCTGCATTTGGGTGTAAAGGATTTTGCCTAAAAAGACATTTAAGCCCCAAATATTAAATATTCCTCATCGCAGAACCACCAAATTTCATTTCATTACTGTGAAAACCATAAGATTGTGCCATGAGGTTCATATATGGACTGTTCTTCTCCTTGTAATCGACATAAAAGTTAGAAAACTGTTCAAATTTAATTGCTGTGAACATGTCATTTGCCGCATTGCTGTCTTACTGTTGGTTTGGGGTCGTATAAAGGCGGCTTCACTGATCAGTTCATTGCTTGTGATTATTCAGATGTGATGGTGGGAGACTACAGAGGGACCAAAGTAGCTGTGAAGTGCATCAAAAACGACGCCACAGCGCAGGCCTTTATTGCAGAGGCTTCTGTCATGACGTAAGGAAATTAAACATTTGTTCTGGCGCGTTTTAGAAACATAAATGGACACGTACTGACTGCTCTGCTTGTCCCCTTCATCAGGCAACTACGGCACGATAACCTGGTACAGCTGCTTGGAGTGATTGTGGAGGAGAACGGAAGTCTTTTTATAGTTACTGAGTATATGGCAAAGGTAGGTGGCTGAGTGTCTGATAATCTCCCGACGTGGTGAATACTCTGTATAAAACATATAACATGCTTTTGTTGTTGTTGTTAGGGCTGTTTGGTTGACTATTTACGTTCCAGAGGCCGGACAGTACTTGGTGGAGAAGCTCTCCTACATTTTGCATTGTGAGTATTTCTGCAGCGAACCACAATTTGGGCAGTTATTCTGTTGTGTTTTATGCTATGTTAGTATTAGCAGAGTGGTGTTGCAATAGCTAGTGATCAGAGAGGGAGGAAATTCAGCTCTAAAGAGGGGCATATTTTGCAGCACAAAGAGCAGATTATATCTTATGAGTCTATAGATAAGAGGTTAAAGTTGTGGTTGATGTTTATTCGAATTTAAATCTTTATCATGTATTCTTTAAAGGACCACTTAGCCCATATATTTAAAGACAACACGGTTAGCAGATAAAAGGGTTATTTTATTATCTTAAAAGGCCCTTTTATCTTCCTACTGAATGGTAGAAATCAGATATAGTAGTTTCATTTATTTAATTTTTTTAATTTTTTTTATTTTCGTGCCATGACAAAAAGTTGATTCGACACGCCTGAGCCCGGCGTTTGTTACTTTTTCTTTTACTTTCACAGAGACGTCTGTGAAGCCATGGCGTATCTGGAGACCAATAACTTTGTTCACCGAGACTTAGCCGCACGAAACGTTCTCGTGTCAGAGGACAACATGGCTAAAGTCAGTGATTTTGGCTTGACCAAGGAGGCCTCTTCCACTCAGGATACCGCTAAGCTCCCCGTGAAGTGGACGGCACCTGAAGCACTGAGAGAAAAGGTGCGCTGCTTTAGAGCTGTTCTGAGCCGTGTGCTTTGCCGTGCATAGTTTGTGTATCCAAAACACAGTGAAATAAACTCTTAATATCCTTTTTTTTTTCTATTTGTCATTAGAAATTTTCCACCAAATCAGATGTTTGGAGCTACGGTATTTTGCTGTGGGAGATTTACTCTTTTGGCCGAGTTCCTTATCCGAGAATTGTAAGTATCAGTTTGTTTTTGTGCATAAAAAAATATGCTGGAATAACAGCTTTGGATTAAGAAAACAATGAATTTTTAAAATTCTAAATCAATAATAATAGTACTTTGTGATCGCTCTCGAACATCCATATATGTGTTATGAGTGTAGCCCTAGGTTTAAAGGACCAAAATGTTCAACAAACAAATCTGGTCTTTCCCGTAGCCATTAAAGGATGTAGTGCCTCGAGTGGAGAAAGGCTACAAAATGGACTGTCCTGACGGCTGTCCTGAAGTCGTGTATAACATCATGAAACAGTGCTGGAACCTGGATCCCGCCGCCCGACCAAGTTTTCAGATGTTGAAAGAGTGGATTCAGCATATCACCCAAGGGATGGGAAAAAGACAATGAGTGATCTGACAAAACAGACACAACATAGATCCTCTTTTTTCATTTTGACCACTGAGACCATAACTGTGGAATTTAAAAAAAATTTTTTGACAAGGACTGTACAATTTGGCAAAATTCACAACAAATACTGTTTTCATTGTGCTTTTTTAGCAAACATCAGGTTGTTCAGACTGCAGTGACTTTCTTAGTCGAGTGGCGCCATCAGGTTTGTCTCGTCTCGTCTTCTTGCACTTTGTTATCCAGAGTGAATGATTAATTGTCATCAACAAGTCTGTCCTTAGAACACAGTGCTGCCTCAGAACCAGTGCCTTGACGTGCTTCCACGTCTTTTTTTGTCCTTTACATCAACATCCTTAACGTAACGGTAGTGTCCTTTTAATTTCACGAACCTGTAAAAAGTAACTTAATTTGACTCAGCCGACTGAATCTGTTTAAAACTGAAAGATGCTTCAATAGTAGAATTGCAATTTTGATACGTCGTTGTCTTTTTTGGGGGATTTTTCTCCTAATGATATCAGGTACACCATTTTTGCATGAATGTTGGATTTTTTTGCTTAAAGGACAAAATTTCAAAGAAAGAATAATAATTATCCAACTTTATCTTTTTTTCTCTTGTATGATATTAAATGTTTTATGACTACGTTTTCATCCTCCCGTGAGTCGAAAAGGAAAAGGTTTTTCATCTGACATCCTAAAATGTTTTATCAGACAATATTTTGGGATTTGAGCAAACTATCAGGATTTTGTGAGAAAAAGAAACAGAGAATGTTAATACTTGTACTGTACTGTCGTTTTCAACAATAAAAAAACAAACAAACCAAAAAACCTTTTTGAAAATATTTTCTGAATAATTTTTTTAACATTCTTTTGAAATTATATTAAAAGTTTAACAGTTTTTAAATTGTAAATTGCTATTTTCTATTTCACTGGATGTATTTGAAGACTTTTTGAAGATACTCATTATCTATGCAGCAATAATAAACTACTATCCATTACTCTTGAAAAAAAAATCTACATCCCATACAAAAAAGAAATTTGCTCCACAGAAGCTACATGTTTTAAATGCATATACACAGCACCGGTTATGTCTTTAATTTCCCATTCAGAAATGGGCACGTGATCCTCTGAGTATATTTTAATGACCATAAATTTGTTTGATATTGCTACTTTCTTGAATAATGAAACATTGCCATCAGGTGATGAATGAGAATACAATTAGCTACAACAATGTACCGACAACTGACACACTTAAGGAGGGCAAAATAATGATTAAAATCATTTGAATGTCCTCTTAAATTAGAAAACAATGTTTTGCTGTCAGATTGACTTTGCGATTCTAAATTTTTACCATAAAAGGAAATAAAGAAAGGAGGAAATACAAGTCATTTATCTGATGTAGAAAGGAAGTCTTTAGCGGAACCCTGACCGCTGCAGTAGCAGCCGGGGAATTGTTTCTTGGTTGCACTGATGGTGTTCCGGGTAAATGTGGACTGAAAACAAAGGTTTGTAAAAGCAGCAAACAGCTCGGAGCTCAGAGACTTGCTCGCGGATTGTCTTTACTTTGTGATGGACAATGATGTCTTTTATCGGGAGCTGCCAAAAGTGGTAAGTCAACCGCCTAACGTGAATAACAGAAGCTTATAAAGTGAGTAATTTGAAGGTGTTTATAGAGAGTAAGGGCGGTTAATGTATAGAGGAGCTTAACGTGTAAGCTAACTAAATGCTAACGTCAGCGTTTTGATTGTTACCAGGAGCTTCACGCTCACCTCAATGGTTCTGTCAGCGCGCAAACCATCGAGAAGCTCATCAGCCGAAAGCCACATCTCAACATTGAACACAGCATGACGGCCATTGGCAAAGGACAGCGGAGGACTCTGGATGAGTGCGTCTGTAATTCATTGACAATTTCATATGAAACCCAGCAGGGTTTAGATTTGATAAAAAAAAGAAAAGAAACTACAAGAAAAAGCACGTTTTGAGCTAAATTTAAGTGGACAGAATGAGCTGTCTGGGAGACGTTGATAAACGGGTTAAGATTAAAACACTATGTCTTTGGGTCTCTGCAGGTGCTTTGAAGTCTTCAGGGTCATCCACAAGTTGGTGGACACTGAGGAGGATATCCTGATGGTAAGGCCTGACTCAAAACAGTGTCGAGCTTCTTTTAGTCAAAGTGTTTCTAAGGATATTTATAAGTAATTGATGTTTTTGTTTTCCTGCCAGGTGGCTACAGATGTTATCAAAGAGTTTGCAGCTGATGGTGTCAAATATTTAGAGTTAAGAAGCACACCACGTGAAGAGAGAGATACAGGTGAATGACAGGCGAAGGTGAATGACACAGTACAGGGAGCAGTGAGTTCTCCTGTATATACCTATGATTGTAGAGGCAAGAAGACTAATGATTTGGTTATTAAATTCAATAATTAATTCATTTGAATTATTCAAAGTGTAGTATAACAGTCATTGTCTTATTTTCAGTACTGATAAAACTAAAGAAATTATATTCAATCCTAGGGGTATATGTGCATAGGAACCAGTTGTAATTGATGGTTGCACAATACAACAGGCTAATACATATAAGTATTTGGGCATCTGTATAGAGAAATTCTTTAAATGGGAAGAACATTTTGACTTCTTGAAAAATTAGCCAGACTGTTTGGGAGTGACTTCCAGGGTTCGTATGGGTAATGGATATTACCTGTCCACAGATTCATGGTGACGTAACTGCTCTTTTAACTGTTTGGTGTCTTTGCTTTGTTATAGGTTTGTAGAAATGGTTTATATGAGATTTTAGCTGAGATTGAGAGGTTTCTGTGGACACTCCTCATTTCGGCACTTGTATTTCTGACCTTGTGTTATAACCGATTAAACGTGATCTCCTCCCTTTTGCCCCCATTTTTGTGGGAGTGGGTGCTTAACTAGTTAAAAAAAAACAAAAAAACATCTGTCTCCTATTTTTTTTGTGTCACATAGTAACGAAGCATTAATATCTGATGAGAATACTTAGTAATTTGGCCTTGCTGTGTATTAATGTGGTGTTTGGTGCAGTTTCTTGTTTTGTGGGGTTGTTGTTGTTTTTTCCAAGTGGAGATGAATATCTTTAACAAGTTGATTTGTTCACATTTGCAAATCTTAATTTTTTAGAGAAATGTGTTTTTTGAGTTTGTACACTATATGCATATTGCACCATTTCCTTTTTCAGTATTTGTCTGTGGTGCATGTTTCCATGTTTTAACAAAAGGGGAACAAAGGACATTTAAGTCAACCTAAAATGATTTGTTATAATTTTTACATGGCCTTACTGAGGTGAAACATGCATTCTTTTTTTTTTTTGGTAATGGGCTGGAAAAGCTTGAAAATGGACCTTGAAAGTGCTTAAAAAGTGCTTGATTTTGACCCTGAAAAATGTGTATGAGCCCTGGACTTCTACAATCATGTGCACTTTTTATAATATAGTGCTTGAAAATCCCAGGTGAATAGGAAAAATAGATAATCTATTTACTGTTATTAATTTGCTAATGATATTACTTTTTGTGATGAAGTTGAGCGCATTTTCAACCTTCTGAGAAGCGTTTCTCTCTGGGACATTTTCAGATAGCTACATGTAGAGAATCGCTTAAGAATTGCTCCATTTGTTTTTTTTGTAATGTCACTGTGAGTTCGGGAATGTAGAATTTCTAAAAGTTCAACATCAAATTCTGAGAAGTTCACTGAAACTGAAACAAACCAGATGAATAGTTTAGGAAAACAAAAAACAATACAAAAACTGGAAACCC